CATTGGGGTACAAGTGCCCCTATGCATCAGTACTCCTGTATCCCTTGAATAAATTCCTAGCAGTGCTATTGCTGTATCATGCATTTTATAGGAAAAATAAACATAGATGGGAAGAATATGCTTCCCATCTTCAGGTTGGTGATAACCTCGGGGGGGGGGGGGGGGGGGGAAAGAGGATGATTTCTAAAACAAACAACTAAGATTTAAAGCCAGTATGTCAAACATGAACATCTATAAAACTGGGTTGGTGGGTACATTGATATTTGAAATTCTGTACAATTCTATATACTTTAAATATTTTACACTTAAAAAATTTTTAAAATGTGTGAGTAGTTCAGAAGGTGGCACAGGGAATACAGATTACTGTTTCATAAGTATTGATAATAAAGGAAAGGATATATAACAGTAGTTTAAAAATAAATTTTAAATACTAGCCTCTTATTGATTAGAATATGTATGTGTGTATACGTACACGCATGCACACACACACGTGCACATAGTCATGTTCATGTGGAAACAGGAGAAAACAAGGGAAGGGACCCAAGGCAATGACCGTGTTGAGACTACTAACTGCCACTGAGCCTGTCTTATGCCCAGCAAGCTATCTAACCATCAGAGCCTACAAACAAGAGCTTGGTTTCTCCTTTTAATATATTTATTGTATTCCTTTGTCTTGGCTTGTGTGTTGGCTAGAACGTCTGTGAAACTTGATTAGTAACAGCGATGGACATGCGCTGTTTCTGACTTTACTGGAATAAAGGGACAGCAGTTTACCACAGCAATGTAGAGCAGGCACTGTGGAAGCAGACTATTTGGGTTCGATCCCGGGGGCTATGTTATGTTAGTCTCCTTTTGCTCATGTTTAAACTGGTGAATGGTTAGGATGAGTTTACTCACATCCGTTCTGCATTCCAGGTCTTACCTGGATGGTTTCTTCCAGGCGGTAGCACTCAAGGACCTGCAGCGTCTCTATAACCTGGTTTGGGTCGAACTGACACAACAGCTCAATGAACTGCTCCGTAACAGAGGGAGGCATCTGCAGCGATTCCTGATTTACATGAATACCTTCCCTGAAAACATAAATAGAAAGAGAACGGCATTAATTCATCACATCTGTCATTAAGTATGTAATGACAGGTAAAAAGTACGTCAACCTTAAAAGCAAAACTCCCTTCTGGTGATATAAAATCGTGAATTGAAAGTCTCACTTTTACCTAGGGTGTTAGGGTGAGCTGTGTATTATATCAGACACAGTCTAAATCACAACAGTTCTCAGTTTATAGTGAATAATTAAGGAAATAATATTCAGTGAAAGCTCCTCTAAATAAATACCAAAGTTGTACTGTTGCTCTAGAAGAAACAAAAATTAACCAATGATCCACGAGTAACTATATATAGTAAACCATCTTCCACTTTTAACAACTGGCCCTACCATACTTCGTTGGTAGCACCAATCACACCATGTTGTAACTACTTCTTTAATTATCTTTCTTATCTAAAGACTATAAACTCTTTGAGGATAGGTACCAGGTATCTTCTCACTAACGAATTCTTAAAGCCTGCAACAGTACCCTGCATGTTGTACGGGCTAGTTATTTACACGCTACTAAAACAAATTTATGAAGTGGATCAATAGTAGGACACACAATATTCATGTGTTCATTTATTTTGTATGTCAGCTAGTCACCAAAGCCCACTATTCAGAATACCTACAACAAAAGCTAGAGATACTGGGGTGCCGGGGTAGCTCAATCGGCAGAGCATGTGACTCGAGCTCAAAGTTATGAGTTCAACCCCTACGTTGGATGCAGAGCTTTCTTTAAAAAAAAAAAAAAAAGGAAAAAAAAAAGCTAGAGAAATACAGAATTAGTTTTATCACAGTGGACACTCAACTACTGTTGGCCAAAAGAAATTATTTAGAAAATCAACTACTGCTCATTACAGACATACAAATCGTCTTTAAAAGAAGTCAGTTCCTTTTGAGAGCCCTATCTTTTCTTCACCTCAACTAAAGCTCCTTATATAAAGAACTGGAATAGGGTTAATAAGATACAAAACTGCTTGGGAAACTAGCTTTGTGAAGAAACGTTAAGGCAGATGGTTTAAAGCAACATCTCCCAGCTTTTCTCACATCACGCATTCAGAGAAGGACAGCATTTGCATGGCCCCTCAGAACAAAGTAAGACTGATCACAGGGGACTATGGGTGCCCCAAGACCCACCCCAAGAGCTGAGGGGATCCGTCTCTAGGCACACCTGTGACCCATGTGCAGCACACCAACAGTCATAGGCGGGAATCTCTGACTCCGCAGAGAACAATTTGAGGTTATAAAGGTCCTATAAATAATGGTAAATAGCCCTCCTATTTTTACCAGTAAGAGCCTTCAGCTACAGAAAGAGGAATTATATTTAGACATAGGAAATCTTTCCTAAACTAAGAGTTTTGTGACACTCAGTCCCTACCAGAGGTTGACTGATGAACTCATTAATTAAGCTCTGCTGCTTGGAGCTGTCAATACTTGCTGATGGGCTAATTCGGTATGTCCTCAAATTGGCTGTAAATCTCTAAGTTCGAGTTTCATTTCGTTAGTTCACAGCTGCCTTTAAAGCAGGATTTAGGTAAGTAACTGGTTATTCCTTAAGTACAGCATCACCTTAGTTCTTCCTATGTAACATGAAAATTATCTTTTTAAGTGTCTAGGTCCCAACTACACTATAAACTCTGAGAGCAAAGACTGCTGCATTCAATGTCTCCCAGCACTCACACAGTCTTGGCACATAATAAATAAGCACTCGGTAAATGTACACTGAATTGAACTGGACAGGCAATAATGTGCTGGGTTGCCTTCAAAAAACCAAATACAGGATAGAGGGGTGCAAATGACAAGGACTAGGGCTATGAAATCAGATTCAGCTGTGAATGAATGCTGTCAGAAAGCTCTACACGGACCAAATAGAAAATGCACATGATAATCACAGGGCAATGATGGGTCTTTATGTAAGATCAACGTTTTGTCCCAACAGAATATGCCCACGTAAAAGAAAAAGGGAATGCTAATTGATGATCGTTAACATTAAGGTGAGCTGGTGTACTTCTCAGATGTTTATGTCATATTGTAGGTAGTGTTAATATTTTATCTATGCCACACTTCTGTTACTATGTCTTATAAATGCAAGACTATGGAGCAAATTAAGACTAGACATAAGCATCTGCCAATAAATCCCAGTATTTAATTCTTTCCAGAACACTTATTGACAAAACTCTTTACAAGTACTAAGGATGTGAATATGCATCAAACTAAGCAAATCACTCAGATGAATAGAATCTGATGCATTCATTTGTGAGGGAAATAATATGTCTGCTGGGAAATGATCAGGCAACATCAACATAATGAAAACTTTAATAAACTAACATGTATGCACTTACACCCATTTCTGACTGCTGCTTCACAGTCTTGCACATAAATACAAATTGTTATATTCCCTTCTCAAAGCTACTTCTGTTACTCTTCTATTAGCTATCTGCTTTGCCACTGTTAACTTTAGTGTATCAAAACTATATGTTTTAAACCTAAACCTTATCTATTCTTTTGGGAATTTCTATTTTAGTCATAGCAATGACATATAAGATATAAACACTTAAGTATATATAAAAGGTAGATTTTTATAAGGCATACACTAGACTTTCTCTTGTCATTTTTTTAAATTTCAATTTTATTTAAATTCTAGTTAACATATATTGTAATATTGATTTCAGGAGTAGAATTAGGGATTCATCACTTACATATAACACTCAGTCCTTATCCCAACAAGAGCCCTACTTTATACCCATCACCCACTTAGCACATCCCCTGCCATTTCCCTCCATCAACCTTCAGTTTGTTCTCTATAGTTAAGAGTCTCTTACGGCTTGCTTCCATCTCTCTCTTTTTCCCTCCCTTCCCTATGTTCATCTGTTCTGTTTCTTAAATTCCACATATGAGTGAAATCATATGGTATTTGTCTTTCTCTGACTTACTTTGCTTAGCATAATACACTCTAGCTCCATCTACATCATTGCAAATGTCAAGATTTCATTCTTTTTGATGGCTGAGTAATATTCCATTGTGTATATATACCATATCTTCTTTATCCATTCATCAATCAGTGGACATTTGGGCTCTTCCCATAGTTTGGCTATTGTTGATAATGCTGCTATAAATATCGGGGTGCATATGCCTCTTCAAATCAGTATTTTTGTAGCCTATGAGTAAATACCTAGTAGTGTAATTGCTGGGTTATAGGGTAGTTCCATTTTTAACTTTTTGAGGAAACTCCATACTGTTCTGCACAGTGACTACACCAGTTTGTATTCCCACCAATAGTACAAGAGGATTCCCCTTTCTCCACATACTCACCAATACCCGTTGTTTCCTGTGTTGTTTTAAAGGAGAGTACTTATATGCCTTGTGAAATACATGCACACCAACTACACCCAAAAATTCAGTTGGGGAAAACATTCACACTTACTCAGGTTGTGATAAATAATTTAAAATTATGATCTTGTACATTTGGCTGTTACTGGGAAGGATAAACTACGCTTCAGTTTTGAATAAATGATGTCATTAAAATGACTCTAAAATCCTGATAAAAATACTTGACAAAGAAAATAAATGTTGCAGGGAGATGAAAAAAAGTCTGGTCTGGTCTCTCCCCTTCACTCTAAATATTGCACAAAAATAGGCCAGTCTAGACTACTCTACATTTCTGAGGGAGAGAATTTCACAATCTCCCTGTAACTTGTGCTGACAACTTAGGGCCACCTCAGCTTAGCCTAAATCCTGACTGCTTGAATTCTCTGCTCATCCCCATATAACCAGTCCTTAGAGGTAGTGGCGTACTGATGACTGCTTGGTACCTTTTAGACTGAAAACTCAAATACATCATTCACAACACACAAGAGTGAAGACAATTATTGTCCATGGAGTTATCATTCTAATCAAGTTGTTTTACAAGGTTGTTAAGCTGAGCTTCCAGTTTTCCATTTTACATTCCATGTTAAAAATGCCACAACGTAATCCCATGTCCTTTGAACAAAACATAAGTAAATGTGCCAATCTGCCTGAAAAACACTTTAAGAGGCATTATTATAGGCAGCAAAGACAATACCCACAAAATGTGCATGGAATTGTAACAACAGTAACGCCTCACAAACCAGACAGGAGACTGGCTTAGGTGGAAACCCATCTGTTGCAAGAAAGAACATAGTAGGTGTGGCTCTCCATGATGGCTCTCTAAGTCAGGCAGAGATGACAGTATCCCTCATACAGAACAGCCACACTTCCTTATCAACTTTTATGAGGCGCAGACCAAAGCAGACAAGGGCACCGTTCTGTCTAATGGCAAAGATTCTGCCACATCAAATCAATGTAACAGCAGATGTAATTCAGGTCTTCAGGGGACTTGTTCACTTTCCATTTCCCTAGTCTGATACTAGTGTCAAAGATGTCCTTCCCAAAACTTAATAGAACTTTTGTTCTCTTTCTGATATTCACAAAAGAGAAAGTGTATTGTTTTCAATGTTCTCCTGCATAAAGAGGAAAAATGGCTTTTATAAGCTAACAGAAATAAGAGCCTAATGATTTTCATAGAAAAATAATTTAGTTCCATAACCTCATCAGGTATAAAGAGTACCTGGGGATGCCTGGGTGGCTCAGTCAGTTGAGTGCCCAACTCTTGATTTTGGTTCTGGCCATGATCTCGTGGATTGTGGGATCGAGCTCCACGTCAGGCTCTGCACTGATTGTGTGGAGCCTGCTTGGCAGTCTTCGCCCTCTCTCTACACCTCCCCCACTTACACACTCTCTCTCTCAAAATAAACATTAAAAAAAAAAAAGTGTATCTGGATCATTCCAATGTTGTACAGACTTCAATTAAATCTCACAGGGTAAGCTAAAACAACTTTTCCAAAATACTACTATTAAAAATGGTAATAAGAAGAATGCTGAGGTTATCTGTAACGTGTACTTTCTTCCTACTGCAAAGCTCTCCCTAACACTGAAATATGCCAGTGATCCCACTAGCAAGAATTG